CCCATTATGGTAATAACCACTTCCTACGTACCCAAAGTATTCAAATCCGGTACGCTTTGATATCAAGTTGTAATGCCTCAAAAATAATACAATCAACCCATTTCATAACTAGTAGTATAAGTGAAACGACATACTTCCATTCATCAGAGGTTAATATACATTTATGAGATGATAACAAAACAAGTTATACAATTAGTCATATGCCTTGGTGGTTTACATTTTTCCAAGCCATTGCTTGGTTACAACAAAACGACTCTAACTCAATACAAATAAGCCCTTGGCTATACAACATAAATACAACAAAATGAAGCTCTTACTCCAAAGTCCCTTCAAGCTATTGCCTTGGCGGGGGCATATCACTAACACCTGAAAATGGATTTTCTCAGGAGCTCAAGGAAAAAAGATGAAGAAACTCAACATGTTCCAAAACTCAATATACTCGGATCAAAACGTAGCCCTCGACGATCAACCCAACTCTTACAAAGGCCGAAGGGAAGGGAAACACTCTAACTAGATCAAACCCTAGAGAGAAGGGAGTTTCTAGAGAGAGGAACTCTCAAAATGTCTTTTTAGAAAGTAAGAGAGAGAGAGAGAGAGAGAGAGAGAGAGAGAGAGAGAGTGAATGTAAAAAGTGATTTTAAAATGCCCAGCTGCCAATTGATATACGACATTCCCGCTCGAGCGTAGAACACAACGCTCGAGCGTCAAGAACAAAAACTAGGTCCGCTCGAGCGCAATAAGGCCCGCTCGAGCGCTAAGACATAAGAATAAAGTACATCCGCTCGAGCGCGAAAACCAGTCCGCTCGAGCGTAGATTTTCCCCTCCCAGAACTTACACAAAAAAGTAGCTCGAGCGCCACCGCTCGAGCGCCAGAGTACCCGCTCGAGCGCAAAGAAACCCGTTTGAGCGTGAAAAACATGTTTGCAGAAGTTCTGCAGAGCACCAAAAGATAGGGAGCGTGCAATCTCCGCTCGAGCGCAAGAAGACCCGCTAGAGCAGACCTCCTAAAAACTGGGCAACAAAGAATTGAAACCAAAGCCCAACCAACCTGTAACAACTCTGCCCAACACATCCTAAAACCCGAACAAATGGAATTAAAGGATGACAACAAGATTGATACAACTAACAACTCCGCGGAACTGAGTCCGGAATACAACAGAACAGTAAAGGGACAATCGGGATCGCTATAGAATAATTATCGCCGGTGATGGAATGTGTATACTGATTGAACGTGCCACTGTTTGCTCGTCGGATTCGACAATAAATTTGATAAATTTGACCTGAAAAAAAAAATTTAAATTAGGATAAATTTCTCAAATAATTTTCCTATAACAAAATATGTAAATAATTTTGTGAGTAATTTCACCTCGCAGTCGTCGTTGTTTGGTTGCCTGTAATAAGAATCGTCCGTAACGCACAAATCGTAACTCAGTTGATTTGTGAAATATGATACCAATACAGAGTGGGTTGGGTGTATTCATTATTTATAAAATGAGTCTGACTTCTGAAACTCACCCGTGATGAATCTGAAGTACGGATGTTTGATACAGAGAAGCCATCCGTGATGAATCTGAAGGACGGGTGTAGATGAGGTTCACGTGAAAGTTTGGAGACGATGAAGAAGGCAGAAACGTTGAAAGGGAGATACTTGCTACCAAACAGATTTTCAAAATGTAATTTGAATTAACACGCGGAATCAATTTTTGAACATCGTATCCAAACGTCATGCGCGAGCTCACGTATTGAAAATTGATTTCAGTTCACAACCAAACAGAGCTAAAGATTCTCTTTTCTCTCTATTTTTTATACATCTTTTTGTAAAAAACTAAAATATTATTCAAAACATACTAATTTTTTTTAACTCATATTTTAACTAAATAACTAAAAAATTATTAAATTAGACTGTTCCCAAATGAGGTCTAAACCTCAACCTCATTTTGAATTCGGATCCTCAGTCGCCATTGCCTGTAGCGCCCCAAAACGACGTCGTTTTGGGGCAACTTTTCAAGAAAAAAAAAAAAAAAAAAAAAACAAACAGAGCAGAACTCAGACCCATCTCTCTCTACTTTTACATGCTCTGTTTCTTCCAGAACCAGAGTATGAACTCTCTCACTCTCTCCATCTTCTTCCTGTTCCTTTCCATCATCTCACTTTTAGGTAAAAATGGCTTCACTTTTAATTTCTCTGTATACACAATGTGTTTTATAAAGCTTTAATTTATTTGGGTTTCTAACATTTTCATGCTACATTTGCAGATGGAGGTTCCATCGGAGTCAACTACGGCCGAGTAGCAAACAATCTCCCATCTGCCGTAAAAGTAGTCCAACTCCTCAAAACTCACGGTATCGAACGAGAGAGAAAGAAAGCTAAAAACAGAATCAGACCCATTTTCTACCCAAAAAATTTCAATCAAAAATTTCAAACCCAAAATTTCCTCCTGTGTTCAAACCCAAAATTTCCTCCTGTGAAATTTCCTCCTGTGTTCATTGCCCTTAACTACCCAAAATTTCAATCAAAAATTTCAAACCCAATCAAATCCATTTTCCTCATGTGTTCATCGTCCTTACCCACCCAAAATTTCAATCAAAAATTTTCCTCCTGTGTTCGACGCCATTAATGGGTTCTTCCCCACTTTCTGAGCTTTTTTTTTTTTTTTTTTTATATCGAGTTGTACAAATTTTTTTTTTTTCTTCAAAATTTGCCCCAAAACGACGTCGTTTTGGGGCGCTACAGGAAAAGGCTATAGGCAAAGGCGACCGAGGATCCGGATTCACCTCATTTTAGCCTATGCCAAAAATGGCTGAATTCTCCAATATTAAAATATCTCCCATCACTTTCCAACAATTACCATCATCTTTGGCATCTACGATTCTCTCGGAAGGCATCTCTCTCTCTCTCCATATACTTATATGCATTCAATTCCATCGTTAACGTCAAACTTCCTCGCGTTGCGATCTATTTGTGGGTTCAATTTTCCCATACTTTCTTCCCATTCCTTTGCATTATTATTATTATTATTATTATTCGATCACAATCTCTCCTCCTCCTCATAGCATCTCCGCTTGAATATTCTTTCAATTACATCCGTAGCAATTTACATACGCACACATATCTCAAGAATCCCTTTCTGGGTCTTCTTCTCTACTCATCTTTCTCTATTTCAGGTACTAGTATATATAGCTTCTCAATTGATTTGTTTTTATGTGAATTCATGTTGATTTACCTTCTTTTTCTTTTTTGTGTGGTTAATTTGATTTGAACAGAGGATGGGTAAGGAGGAGGATCAACAAGTTAGCAAGGATTCAAAGGGGGTTTCTGAGGTGAATGAGAATCAACAATCGAAGGAAGGGAAAGGGAAGAGATTGTGGAACAAAGTGAAGTACCAGCTTGTTGAATACCACTCATTGCCTGGGTATTTGAGGGACAATGAGTTCATTGTCGGCCATTATCGATCGGAATGGCCAATGAAGCATGTTTTGATGAGCATCTTCACTATTCATAATGAGACAGTCAATGTCTGGACGTAAGAATTAAGCTAAACCCTGTTCTTTAATTTTTTTTCACAGGGTTCAATTGTTGTATTGTTTGCTTCAGGTTGTGAACTTTTGGTGGGCCATACCAGAATTCTTTGTTGTTCATTCAAGTCTGCGTTGTTTGTTTGTGCAGTGAATTGCCTTTACTTTCTTGTGTTCTGTATAGTTAGTGAATTATGTAGGTCTCCTCATACACAGTGACACATTTATTGAACACAGAAAACAAAAGAAATTCTTCTTCTTAACAAAAGGTATGGCATCCAAATGATGTTACTTTTTTTTTTTTTTTTTTTTTTTTTTGGGATGAGTGAAGATAGAGATTGTATTCTAAGGTGCCTATGTATACATATGGAACAGTTTTTGTTTTATTTTTGATTGTCCTATATATCTATAGGCTAAGAAGTATGGATGCTAGAAGGTGGTGTGGTGTGACTTTGTTGAACAACAATACACATCCAACACTTCCCTATGTGTGTAGGATAAACGCCCAAACATGTCTTATTATTTTTAAATTTTATAAACCCAAATACAGATGAACACTGACAGTCGTCGAATGATTCCCTGTGTGTGCTGGATAAACATACAAACATGTCCTATTATTTTTAAATTTTTTAAACCCTGGCACTTGGGGGGGACAAGCGTCTATTTCTTAGACATAAATGAAATACGTTACAAGTTTGAACATGATAATTTAGGATCTAATGGTTTAAAAAAAGATGTAGACAATTAATCCCTCATCTTCTACGTTTTAATTTTAGAGACAATGTAGACTCTATTTTCCCCTTGCCCTTGGGGTGGGGGATGGGGTTTGTGTGAGTTGGGGTTGCCTTGCAAGTGTTAATGGTAGTAGGCAGAAAATATTTGAGCCTTGCAGGCTTCCAGACTAGCAGTATGCAGTGTGCCTTTCCAACTAATTGGTTTTGTTTTCAAACCCCACTGAGCTGTCTCTTAGGAAAATGTTTGATTCTTAATGTTTCCAAAAAAAAAAAGAAGAAAAAATTAGATGGTCTGCTGCAAAATCTGCTTGGCCATGGTGGGCGCATTAACTGATTAACATGTATGCCAATCAAACACCAATTGAGCACTGAGACCAGTGTTCTGTTAGTTTTGTTTTTTGAGGCCGCATCTTTGTGTTTCTTTTAATTACCTGAAATCATTAATAACACGATTAAGAAAATCAGTGCGATGTTTGACTCCTTTTATTGGGTCCTTTTCACTACTATTAGAGCATGTAAATAGGATTTTTAGATTATCTTTGATTTCTTAAAGTTCAGAGGTCAGTACATGCATTTTTCTCTTTTTACCTGCCACTGCAATCTTCCTTGCTTGAATCATAAAATGTTGTTTTTTGCAAGCATTTGATAGGCTTTTTCCTTTTTCTTGCCTTGACAATATACACAGCAATGAAGATTCCAAGGGTTGTGGATCTCTACACTCAACAACATTTCCCTGATGTGCTGAGAAATGCTGATTTATACAAGCTGCGTGCAGAACTTTTGGCTTGCCTTCCTTCCTTATCCAACATGCCTGATTTGCAAAGAGTTCGTGAGGAGCTAACAAATTCATTGTCTGCAGTGGATTTACTACCATCACTGTCGACTTGGCATATTGTAGAACTCCTCACTAACTGTTTGCCTGAGCGATTCTCTCATGGCAACCACACTGATGTTTGCGTTCTGGTACATTCCTACTTCCTTGCTCCTTTGTGGCTGATAGTAATCAACATTAACTTACAAGTTATGAGCTAATCTATAATCTTGATTGATAGGTTGTCAAAAACACAATCCTAATCCATTTTTTCCCATGCTGCCAAGGCGCAATTAGTACTTTCCTTTTTAATTTTGGTGGTTAATTTGGGCCATTCGTCTCATCCTATCATAGGGCATGTTTGGTGCAACTTGTTGTAAGCTGAAAGCTCATCAATCATAAAACAAGCCAAAAGCATCCCTCCCCCAGATTCCAAATAATCAGTTTTTTTTTTTAGCTTATTTAAACTATTTTTGTCTAATAAACTATAAACAGAAGTTGCATTTAATAATCTAGTATAGACTTTCAAAATAAATAAATAAAGAAAGATTATAAGCGTCACATATAAGCACCAAACAGCTCCATAGAAGTTGTAGCCAGGCTAAGTGGTGCTTGCATATTACTAAACCTTTGGAATTATATATGCACATGCTATTGTGATATTTGTCGCTGCTTTTCAATCTGACTAAGTGAAATGCAGGTTTGTGGTTGACCCTTTCCCCCTTCAGCATCACTTTGAGCTCATGGTTTCTCGTTTATGTCTTCTGATGTCCATGGACTTCTATTGCTAATTTGTTTTGTAAAAATAATCTCGAGCCAATGATGTTACTTTACCCTCATTCAGAGTAACTCATGCTTTGGTAAAAACATAATAGCAAAATATTTTAGATGTTCATTTATTCATTAGTTGTCCAACATCTATTCTCATGTGGCATATATGTGGATATTAGTATTGGAGTATGAGAAACTAGTCTAGACTGAGCTTGTAGAAGTCAATTATATTTTTTCCAATTTGAGTTCCTCTAGCTCTACATAATAGACCTAAACAGAACTAATAAGTAATGGCACTCACTACTACTAACTATCTGAGCTTGGAGAAATTACTAATATTTTTCCAATTTTGTTCTTCCCTGACTGTTAATCGTGACTAATACTTTCGCTATTATTTGATTAAATGCAGCGTAGCGTGAAGGATGACATTCTGAACATGATTGCACCCTTGATGTTGAGGCCAATCACAAGGTGGCCATTCTTTGCCTTCTTAGGTGGGGCCATGTTTTGCTTGCTCTCTAGCTGCGCGTGCCACCTACTTGCATGCCATTCCGAGCGATTATCATACATCTTGCTTAGGCTCGACTATGTTGGAATCGCAGCTCTCATTTCAACCTCCTTCTATCCTCCAGTATACTATTCATTCATGTGCAGCCCCTTCTTCTACAATCTCTACTTGGGATTCATAACCCTTTTGGGAATCTCCACAATCTTGGTTTCTCTCCTTCCTGTCTTCCAAAAACCCAAACACCGTAATACACGCACGTTCATATTTGTGGGGATGGGCTTATCGGGAGTCGCTCCAATTATGCACAAGCTTATATTGTTTCAAAACCGGCCCGAGGCACTTCACACGACTGGGTATGAGATCTTGATGGGTGTGTTTTACTGCATGGGGGCTTTTTTTTACACAACAAGGATTCCGGAGCGGTGGATGCCGGGGAAGTTTGACATCGCGGGGCACAGCCACCAGCTTTTTCATGTATTGGTAGTGGCGGGGGCTTACACACATTACCGTGCAGGGCTAGTTTACCTCAGGTGGCGGGACATGGAAGGGTGTTGAAAAGGGTTTATTGGATGGTAGATGAACCGTGGGTGTGTATCCATATAGGTGATTAGCCGTGTATATTGTTACAGTCTCAGCTTCTTCATAAGGAAAGGTCAGAATTGTGGCGACCTTTGTAGTAGTTTTTTTTGAATTTTAGATTGGCGACCTTTGTAGTAGTTTAATTGTTGAAGACTTTAATCATTTTACTTTATTTTTTTAATACCTATTTTTCTATGTATGAAATGATAACTGTAATTGAACTGTTGTTCGAACTTTGTTTCTTGTTTTGCTAGCTGATGTTAAAATCAAGCAAAGTGTTTTGCTTGTTTTATTTCATTCTTGAAAATGGGCGTAACTGTTTTAGCAGAATCTTCAGTTCTGCTGAAGTTTATTCACATTGTTATCAGTTTGATTTTGTGACTATTTCTGTTTTTTGAAACATTGGTTCTGTGAATTGAGAAACGGACAATCACTGTGACAGAACTTTGGGCCGGCGGGCATCCAGTTTGAAACTGATTTAGGGACGACTATCGAGTTAGTTGTTGTTGTTGTATTTTTATTTTTATTTTTTAATACCAAAATTGGATTGTGTTAAATCATATGTTTTTCAATACAAATTGATTGTAACTTGTTTTCCAGTTTCACAAACATGAGTTTGAAAAATAAATTAAAAACAACTCGACTTTGATGGATAAAAAAAACCTGACAAGATGGTTTGCTCCTTGATTGCATCAATAATATTTTTTGTGGCTTTAACTTCCATTTTCTTCTTGAAAACTAGTATTAAAAAAAGTACCAAATACAAAATGTATAGACATGAGATAAAATATTCAGAGACATTACGAAGGCTTTGAGTCATAACTGTGCCTCATTCCGTATGTAAGAGAGAGAGAGAGAGAGAAAGAGTCTTATTATACAAATAAATATATAAAAAAAAACTCATATTATACTGACTAAAGCCTCGTTTGTGAATAAATTATTTTAATAATTTTTTAACTTTTAATGAAAATATATGTAAAAAAGTTGAGAGAGTGATATGATAATTTATACGACTTTTTAACTAAAGTATGTAATTGTCAAACAAGACATATAAGAAAAAGCTTTTGTTAATTGAGAGAGATGGAGGCTTGACATTTTTTTTTTTTTTTTGTGTGTTTTTTTAAAGAGCAATGATTGAGACTCTCATAAAAACTCTACCCCCGCAACCTCCACATCATCCTATGTGAGAGGGAAAAAAAAAAAAACAAACAAACAAATAAACAAAAACACACATAGACCAATTACACATATTTGGAGGTCATGAGAGTCCCAAATTAGGGGTCCCAAGCTTTTTTCATTTTTAAAAACAAAATAATGAAAAGTTCATATTAGTGTGGAAAAAAAAGAAAAAGAAAAAAAACAAGAAACCACAAAAATCTGCGAATTAACCCCAAAAAAAAATACAAAACCCATTCTACAGACCAAACATGTAAGAGAGAGAGAGAGAGTGATAATTCTTGGGTTCTTCTGTCCAGTTCGGGATCGGACTAGACCGTGCTGTTGGGTCTGTGGGGGCCCACCACGGGTCTCATTTTGATAATCTGAACCGTTCAATGTGTAGAACTCGTCAAGTACTATATGTCTGTAAAAAATCACGTTGATCGGATTTCGATAGCTATATGATCAAATCAGTTTCATATTAAAAAAATTGGACGGTGAACAAATTAACGGTTGACAAAAAACTGTTTTGATCACATATTTATCGATATCCGATCAACGTGATTTTTTAAAAAAATATAGTACTCGACGATTTCTACACATTAAACGGTTCAGATTATCAAAACGGAACTTGTAGTGGGCCCCCATAAGCCCAACATCACGATCTAATCCGATCCCAGACTGGACAGAAACCATACCCTCTTGGTAATTGAGAGAGATGGAGGCCTGACAGTTTTTTTTTTTTTTGGTGCGTTTTTGTAAACAAAATAATGAAAAGTTCATACGAGTGTGAAAAAAAAAAAAAAAAAATGCTTGGGAGCACTAAAAAGGGATCACTAAAAGGAGCACTAATGATGTGGCAGTGGGCTCTGCCCACTTTCTATGCCTTGTTTTTATTTTTATTTATTTTTTTTTGTCATCCCCAATGTATTAGTGCTATTAGTGTTGTATTTTTTAGTGGTCTAAATCATTGTTGAAAAAAAAAAACACACATAAGTCCGCGGATTTTACGGCACATTGAAGAGTCTAAGCGGCTGGAAAAACCAAAAAACAAATGCTCTCGTTGAGAGTCGAACTCAAGACCTCCCGCTTACTAAACGGGTGCTCTAACCAACTGAGCTACGAGAGCTTGCCGGCTATTATATCTAAACAAACATATTAGTTAATGAGCAAATCGTCTGTGTAATCACTAAACACGTGACACTGGAACTTGAAGTTTGGTTCAATTTTCTCATAAAACTTATAGGAAGTCCTGTAAGAAAAGTCCTACACTGTTTGGCAGACATTTTAGACTAATTGGTTTATTTCTTTCGAATATTTGGTCATTCAGAAATTCAGAATGTGCTTTCAGGTCCGAATACTCTGAATGTGGAGTTTACTCCAATTTATTTTCTTTCTTTGATAATAAAACAAAAGAGGCTTCTTTTTCCTTCGGCTAAATTACAAATACATCCTCAAAAGTTTATTTTTAAATTATAAATTACTCTCTGTAATTGTAGAAATTACATTATGACCCTTAAAATTTCTAATTTCATAACAAAAGATCATTTTATTAATAAGTTATCAAGTTAATTAATAATTTTTAATAATATTAAAATTTTGTTTCAATTGATAATTCAGATAATTTTATTATTGTATAGGTGAACAGTTAGAAATTTTACTTTTTTAATTAATTCTGTCAAATAAAAAATTCTGATAGAGAGGCATTTGTAATTTCCCAAACAACATGAAGCAATTCGTATTTTAAGCAAGTCTCAAGAGGTGTATTTGTAATTTACCCTTTTCCATTTCATTATTTTAAACTATTTATGCCTGTTATCTTCCATTTTGAAATATCAAATTGAAATTTTTTAATGTCATTAGTCTACTCCTTTAATTGGAACAAATTAAGATATTTCTTGATAGTTGTATTATGAAAAAAAAACTAATCATAAAATCAAACATAGAATACATAAAATTTTACTATATTTGTTTCTGGGTCCATTTTAATTTTTTTGTTATTTTAAGTGTAAATTATACTGAGCTCTCTTGATATCTATAAAAAAATGCAATAAATTAAATATTTTTAACATAATTATACTGAGCTCCCTTTAAATTTTAACCCATATAACATTTAATCTTATTTTTATCAATAATTTGTTAGTTACATGAACGAAAAAGTAATGTCATATTTTTACATAAAAACTTGTACTTTATGTTGTTTATTTTTGTATTTTGCATCATCTAGATTAGTTTCAGCCTATTTAGCCTCACTAAAAAAAAAGTCGGAATAATTATGTTAAAATTGTGGGTGTTACCATATTTTTTCGAACCTCACGAGAAGTCAGCCTAATTTACCCTTTTTTGTAAGGTCCAGCTTGTCCCAAGTTGACATCAAGACTGGATCTGTCCAGTTCGGCCAATGGGGCCTATTTTTTGGGCCCGTTTTGATAATTCGAACCGTTTAATATGTAGAACTCGTCGAGTACTACATGACTGTAAAAAATCACGTTGATCGGATATCAATAGCTATGTGATCAAATCAGTTTTATATAAAAAAATGGACGATGAAACAATTAACGGTTGATAAAAAATTGTTTGGTTCATATAGCTATCGATATCTGATCAACGTGATTTTTTACAGGCATACAGTACTTGACGAGTTCTACACATTGAACGGTTCGGATTATCAAAACGGGACCCGTGGTGGACCTCCACAGATCCAACAAAACGGTCCAGTCTGATCTTGAACTAGATCAAAACCACTACCTTTTTGTATTAGTCTATATATTTTAATATTTTTAGATTATTTGTTGTCTCACTAGTTCAGTTGTTTATTCCTATATGTACTCTCAATTGAGATGTTAGGGGTTAATTTCTATCAAAAATAAATAAAAAAATTATAATTTATTTGTCATTGGGTTTTGTTTAGTTAGTTTTTTTTTTATTGTTTTTTTTAATGATTGTGGTGTTAAATTACTATTTAATGTAATATCTTGATACTTGTAAATGTTGTAAATGATAAAGTCTAATAACTTAATTTTTTTTATGATACATTAATTCTTAAATAGTAAGACCCACAACATGAATTTCAATTGTCCCTTTTTCGAATATTTATTTAAACAATTTTGTGATACATGGCACCTTTGTTTATAAAAAATGAGAGAGTTTTGCTCAAAAAATATACTATCTTACAAAAGGTAAAGATTTTGAGTGAGACTCACCATTTATTAGACATTTTTATCCCTTCTATGCTTAGTCTTCGTGTTTCTAGCATCACTTATAAAATATAGAAAAAATTAATGATAAATCTAATTTAATAAGGGTATAAAACATTAAATTCAGTACATATTTTTTATTGGTAAAAAGTTCACGCTTTCTGAAATAGTTTGATGAGAAGATATTTTGTTTTCAATTTTACCATTTGACTTTTTTTATTTGTTTAACTTTTTATTAACTATCTGTTCACATTTATATCTACATATTTAGTTTTTTTTTGTCTATTTGTTCAAATTTTTTGACTATCTGTTCAATTTTTCTCCTAAATTCTATTTAATTGTTCATTTTTTTCTCCTAAATTCTATTTATCTATTAATTTTATATCTATCTGTTCAATTTTTTTCCTAAATTCAATCTCTCTGTTCAATTTTTTTCCTAAATTCAATCTCTCTGTTCAATTTCTTTCTATCTGCCCAAAATTTGTGTCAATATTTTTTGTTTATATGTTGCAATCACTATCATCATCATCAATTTTTTTCCATATCTGTCTCATTACTAACTCAGACCAATCAACACCTCCAAAATCTTAAATCTAAAGTTTGAAACTAGTTCAAATAGATTGACTCACACATATGTATAGCAGATCTAACTTCTACAAGATCAAATCTGAAGTTTCAAACTACAACAACAACAAAGGGGACCTCAACAGCAACAACCACTGGAGAGAGAGAGAGAGAGAGAGAGAGAGAGAAGGTGGTGGTGGCATGGATCGCGTAGATCGGCCACCAAATCTGAAGCAATAGGAGACAGAAGAGTCATGAGAAGTGCAACGCCGGAATCAAAGTCATCAATGTTGGTATCCGTGGCGACGTTTCGGCGGAGCATGTAACTGGTGATGGTGCGACGGTGGCGCTCCCGCAGCTTTGGTGCGGTCCTGTTTCTCTCTCTCTCTCTTCCCTTCGCAACTTCAGTGGACAAAAAAGTAGCGGTGGTAGCACCCATGGCCACCGCCACAGCGGCGGCGGTGGCAGCGAAGCTGCGATGGCGACGGGGCTAAAGGTGAATGAAAAGAGAAAGAAAGACGTCAGTTGTGGTGTAAGATAAATTGATAGAGAGAATTACAGAGAGAATAAATTGTATGTATTATGATTAATATTATTGATTGATATGTATTGTTATGTTTACAATGATCATATATATAGAAGAAAATGTGGTAGTAGGTGTAGGTGGTAGGTGGAGTGAAGTGGAGGTGGTAGGTGGAGTGGGTGGTAGTGGAGTGGTGATTTATTATTTACAATTTACATTAACAGTTGTGGTTCTTCTATTTCTCTTTCCTCCTCCTTCGCAACTCAATTGGAAGAAGAAGTAGCGGAGGCAGCATCCATGGCCACCACCACAACAGCGGCATTAGCGGTAAAGCCGCGGGGGTAACGAGGCTGAAAGTGAGAGAGAGAGAGATAGAGAGAGAGACAACGGCTAGAGAGGGAAGAAGTGTGACTCGGGCCAAGTTTGGGGACTTTAAAAAAAAGTTAAAAAGTTAAAAAGTTATTCAGCGGGGGTAACGAGGCCGAAAGTGAAGAAAGAGAGAGAGAGAGAGAGAGAGAGAGAGAGAGAGAGAGACAACGGCTAGAGAGGGAAGAAGTGTGACTTAATAATTACTCAAGTAATAAGAGGAAGGAGAAGAAATGAAATGGTTGTGATTTTTCTTATTTTTATTTGGATAAGAAATAAATAAAAGAAAAGAAATGATTATAATTTTTTTATTCTTGTTTGATTAGATTTTATTAAGAAAAAAGAAAAGAAATTATTTTATATTATATTACCAAAATAATCTTTTTATATTTTCAATCATTTTATTTCTTTTATTTTTATAGGGACAAAATTGATATTATTAAAATAGTAGTTTCTTTTCTCTCTCAATCTCTCTACTTTTGGGAAGATTGAAAATGAGTCTTATAAGAGAAATGAGTTTCTCTCTATTTCTTCTCATTTCTCTCTACTTAGGTTATCCAAATAAATAAGAGAAATTCATATCATTCCATTTCTTTTCTTTTCTTTCTAAATCACTCAATCCAAACATAGTGTTAGAGTTTTAGAACTGTGTAATGATATATATAAAGAAGGATATGTTAGTCATTTTGCTTGAACTTGTCCATTTAGATAAAATATTTTAAAAGTGATTCTACTTACACCACCAAATAAACTTCTTACGCCATTCAATTTTAATTTTTTTTTTATTATATTTCAATTCTGGTATAAAATTACTAAAATATCATTCTTTCTTAAATTTTAAAAACCTTAGGCTCTGTTTAATTTAGATTTCAAAACATAGTTCCACCACTGATTTGAGTGTGGTATTTAGTTACAGCTTTCAAATCATAATTCTACACCCATTTCTTAAAACTCATTTCAAACTATAATCATTACTTTTCAAAACTCATAACCAAACATACAACTCAAAACTATTTTCAAAACTCAAAAATAACTTAATTTTTATTTAAATTTTTTTTATTTTAAATATTTTATTTTATTTTATAGGAATATTTTTAATATTTTAATTTTCATAAAAATATTTTAATATTTTGATTTTAATATTTTGATATTTTAATTGTAAATGATTTTCAGAATATTTTTAATATTTTGATTTTCGGAATATTTTTAATATTCTTAATATTTTAATTTTCAGAATATTTTTAATATTTTATTTTTCGAAATATTTTTAATATTTTAATTGTCTAAATATTTTTAATGTTTGTACAGCCTAAAAAATGAATTGACAGAAAAATAATTGATATAAAATAATTGACATAGAAGTTATTTGAAAAAAAAATTATTCAAAAAAATTACTTAAAAACAATTAATTGAAAAAAATCATTTTTTTTATTTGAGTATTTTAAAAATAGTTTGGTTATGACTGTTGATCAAAAATACAGATATCGAGTTATGAGTTATGTATTTGATTATCAATTACAGGTTAAATTAAGTTTTGGAAACCATTGTGAAAACTCATCACCAAACAAATTTTCTTATTTCACATGTCACATCAAACTTTCAAAACTCAATTCTACATACAGTTCAGCACTCTATTCAAAAATCATAATCAAACAAATTTTCTACACTCAAATCATAATTCCACAACTCACAAACTCAAAATACAACTCATACTCTCAAGTCATATTTACAAAACTCTACCAAACGTAACCTTAATTTTTCATTACACCACATCACCACCATCTCTATTAGCCCTTCACCGCTAGCCAGCTCTTCACCACCAGCCATCGTTGCCTAGTCTTTCACTACCTCACTGCGCCGCCTTCATTCTCCTTCTCAATTTTCTTCTTTTTATTCCTCTTCCAGATCTAAAAAACCTCCCTAGGTTTTCCTCTCTCTGTCTGTTTCTTTCTCTCGTAGAAATAAGGCATCGATGGTGGTGCATTGCAGTGATGGGGACGTATATATGAAAGTATTGTAGAAGGAAGTGGTTGCAGCGGTTCTTTGTTACCCACATCTCCTCCCCGTCGCTGCCCTCCTTCTCCTTATCTCTTTTTTTTTTTTTTTCATCCGAAAACCCAATTCTAGATTTCATCTCTTTTTGTCTGTCTGTTTGTCTCTCTCTTACTCTAGTAGTGGATTGCGGTAGTGGAGAAGCAAATTTGAAAGTGTTTGTAGAATGGGGTGGTTAAGGCGATAGTGATGGTCACGGCAATGGAATGATGGAGAAAGCGGTGGCTACAGTGGTGATGGTTGCAAATGTTGTGGTTAAGACAGTGGTGATCGCGGTGGTGGAAAGACTGTGAAGGTAGTGACAATGGCTGCCAGAGATGAAGTAGCTATTGGAAGTGATAGTTGGAAGACTTAGGTTTGGAATCTTGGGATGAAAAAGATGAGGATAAGTTTGGCATTATGAGAAGTGTTAAAAGAGGAATTTATCAACAATGATTTATCCCCCCTTTTCCTCCCACCCCCTTTGACCCCCTCTCTCTCTTATTGGTTACATTTTCTTTTTCTTTTTCTTTTTTTTCCTACTCCTCCAATCACCACCCACCACGTGGCAAAGGGGGGTGAGGGGTGACTCCCAAAAGGGGGTCCCAAGTATTATTCTTTTTAGATATGGTGTAAAAGGAAAATAGATGTATGGAATTTATTTTGTGGTATAAGTAAAATCACTCATATTTTGACATTTGTACTTTTGACCAAACAAAAATATAATTTAAACTTTTGGCCCAAATATCCTAATATATATATATATATATATAATTGTTTCCCTAAAATATTTTACTTCAAGATACTCCACATTAACTATTAAAATGACAACCAATGAGACACTTCCTCCTAATCCCTTAATCTTTCATTATAATTCCCCATGACCCTTCTTCTTCTTCTTCTTCCTTCTTGCCCACTACTGTGATCTCGCCGGAGACACCTCACCCTTCAATTCAACCATGGCAAAAAACCCACTTCAAATCAAGCCCTCACGCTCCCTCTCTCTCCTCCTCATCGGAGCTACGATGGCTCTCATGGTTTGTGCTCTCTGGTTCTTCACCCACCCTTTGTCTACCTCCACCAAATCACCAAAACACGTATCGGCTTCCGACGGTGTCACCTCCACCCAATATTGCAACCCCCGTTCACGCGCCGCCGTGGACCTCCGCCACGACCCAGCCAACCCCACATTCTACGACGACCCAACTCTCAGTTACTCCATAGAAAAGCCCATCGAGAACTGGGACGAGAAGCGGCGAGAGTGGCTCCTCCACCACCCGTCGTTCGCCGCCGGCAGCGACGGCGATCGGATTCTACTCGTCACAGGATCACAGCCGTCGCCTTGCAAGAACCCAAGAGGTGACCATCTGATGTTGAGATTTTTCAAGAATAAGGTTGACTATTGCCGAATCCACGGCTACGATGTGTTCTACAGCAACACCTTCCTACACCCGAATATGCGCTCTTATTGGGCCAAGTTACCACTTATTCGGGCCGCGATGGTGGCCCACCCGGAAGCCGAGTGGATCTGGTGGGTCGACTCGGACGCTGTGTTCACAGATATGGAGTTTAAGCTTCCACTGAAGAGGTACAGAGATCATAATCTGGTGGTGCATGGTTGGGCCCACTTGATCTATGAGGAAAAAAGTTGGGTGAGTGTGAATGCCGGTGTGTTTCTGATCAGAAATTGTCAATGGTCCATGGATTTCATGCAAGTATGGGCGAGCATGGGCCCACAAACCCCGGATTTCGAGAAGTGGGGCCAGATTCAGAGATCAACGCTTCCTGATAAGATGTTTCCAGGATCAGACGATCAATCGGGTCTGGTTTATTTGTTATTAAAAGAGAGAGAGAAATGGGCGGATAAGATTTACATAGAGGGTGAGTACTATTTCCAAGGATATTGGCTTGATATAGTGGGGACAATTGATAATGTCACGGAGAGTTATGTTAGAATAGAGAAGAAGGTGCATGAATTAAGGAGAAGACGAGCGGAGACAGAGACCGAGGGTTACGCTGTGGTGAGGGAACCGTATCTAAAAAATGCGGGCTATGGGAAAGATGGTTGGAGGAGACCGTTTATCACGCATTTTACGGGATGTCAACATTGTAATGGAGATCATAATCCGGCATATGCTGGTGATTCTTGCGGATTTGGGATGGAGAAGGCATTAAATTTTGCTAATAATCAGATCCTTCGTAAATATGGTTTCTTTCACCCTAATTTACTAAATCCAACTGATTTGTCGGAGTTGCCGTTTGATTTTTAGCAAGTGTAATTTTCTTCATCTACTTTTATGATGATTTTTTTGTTAGGGTCTGTAGTAGTTGATATTAATGAAAGGATCATTCATTAATCAGGACATTGAGTAATATTTACCTACATTATGGTTTTACCTATATTTACCTGACTCGTAGTTGATATATTGAAATTGTAATTTTATTATGATTTTAATATTGATTGATACTGTTGGGATAAGTGTATGAACAAAATTACATCATGGTAATCGGTAGGATTTCTTTGCCTATGTTTGGGAAGTTTGAGGTTCGGGTTTTTTTTGTTAAAATAGTCATAAAAAAAAATAAAATAGATTTTTTAACTCAATAAGACAAAACATCACATTCAATCCATAATCATTGCATTTTTTCTCTCATAAAAAGTCAAAAAAATCTTTCTCAAACGAGGCTTTTTAGCCCATGCTAAAATAATCAAAAAATTAAAAAGCCAACTCACTTTCCAAATTTTGTCTGTTATTTATTTATTTTTTGTAAAATTTATTAATATGGAATATAGTAGCATAGTCTACAAAGGCCTCGTTTGGCAAGTGGCTTTTTTAATCAAAAAATTAAAAAGTCACTAAAAGAATTAAAAAGTCAATAATTCATACAAAAAAGTCAAAGATTCTCTTTTCACTCTACTTTTTACACATCTTTTCATAAAAAATCAAAAATTTCTCTCAAATATATTAATTTTTTTACATTATATTTTAATCAAAAAATTAAAAATTATTAAAAAAGCCTATTCCCAAACGAGGGTTTCATATGTGTCATTCTTGGTTGATACAAGTTATATATTGTTTTCTTCTAACTGGGTTGACGTCAATGAAAGAATCATTCAACAATCAGGACATTGAGTAATATTCACCTACATTATGATTTTACAGGTACATATCGAAATTGTAATTTTATTATGATTTTAATATTGATTAATGTGTCAATTTTTTGAAAGTCCTATTTACAAATATTATGATAGTTTAAGTCATATTTAAGTTTTTTAAACCAATAAATCTTATTTAATAAAACTAAAAATATTATCAGTTTTTTCTAATTTTTAAAATTAAGAACATTATCAATTTTGGATATTAATATTTTAGATAATTATTTCACTAACTGATGGAAAAAAAAAATAGAGCATGAGATTAAACGTTGTTGCCCTTTTACTTATTGGTTTTAAAACTAACAATATTATCAGTTATTTTATTTTTTCAAGTTTTATTTTTTATTTTTTTTTTTTTTCCAATTTTGCACATCGATGTTCCATCATCATGTTCCTTTATAGATACAAAATTTTTAGTTTTGCACAAAAAATAATTCAATTTTTTCCATTTTTTTTGGCACATAATATTTTTTTTAGTTTTTTCAATTTAAAAGTTGGTGTTTTAAAGTTTTGAAAATAAAAATAAATGTCAAATCATCATGTTCCTTTATGGATAATCATAAATGATGAACAACTATTATTTGATTCTGACGATTAAAAATTTAATGAAACTTGAAGGCTCAAAAAATTTTAATTAAAATTTAATAGAGTATAAATTGATAAAAGAAAATGTTATAGACCCCAAATGAATTACTAAATATTCTACCAAATCTTTCACATGAGTGCCATGTGATTTGTGTGGTCCCACACAAATATTCTGTCAAACCTCTCACATGGTGTACCACACCCATATGATTTGTGTGGTCCCACACCCATGTAAAAAGTTTGATAAAATATTTAATAATTCATTTGATATCTAACATAACTCATTCATAAATTAAAAATTATGTATAAATGTCCCTCCATTAATACTCTGAGATAAGTGTATGAACAAAATTATATCATGGAAACAGGTAGGATTTCTTTGTCAGTTTTGTCTATAAATATTTTTTGTAAAGCTTATTAATATGGAATATTATACCAAAGTCTACTTAATATGTGTCATTCTTGGTTGATAAAAATATATATTCTTTTCTTCTAACTGGGTTCTTATCCCTGAACTTTATTTGATTGTTTAAAAAAAGCACCCATTTGGCTTCAGTGGACTCTCCCCCTTTTTTCTTTTTTTTTTTTTTCTTTTTTTTTTTTTTTTTTTTTTTTTTTTTTTTTTCACATAGTATAGTGAGATAAAGGAGGAATTTATGTTCAAACTTGGTATTCTATTAGGTACTTAATTTTATTTTATGTTTGTAGTAATACATGTTTGCAGAGAACAGTGTTTACATGTGCTGAACAATATGCATCCATATCCACCAGATGAAATAGGTTGGAGAAAGCAAAGTCATCTTTCAATTTTGGTGGTTCTTATTAAAAGCTTAACGTTGTGTTTGGTTGGAAGATTTGGGGAGAGATTTAGAAAGAGAAAGGGAAAATGTGTGAGAAATTAGGTGAAATACAGGTATATTTTATTCGTATTGATGTGTTGTGATAATAACTCTGCAGATCTTTGTCTGCTGATGTGGCCCGTGTCCCACCTGCCGTGTGCCTAAATGCCGTTGGCCCTTCATGTCTAGGTGGCCTCCAGCTGTTCTGGGCCTTGTCAACCGGGTTGTGCCATTGGCCCCAAGCGATGGGTTCGGGGTGGTTTGCTGTGGGCCGTATGCCTTGTGGGCCTATCCATGTCACTATTTACAAATATTATGATAGTTTAAGTCATATTTAAGTTTTTTAAACCAATAAGTCTTATTTAATAAAACTAAAAATATTATCAATTTTTTCTAATTTTTAAAATTAAGAACATTATCAATTTTGCATATTAATGTTTTAGATAATTATTTCACTAACCGATGGAAAAAAAAATAGAGCATGAGATTAAACGTTGTTGCCCTTCTACTTATTGGTTTGATTCAACTATCCAATAAAACCGAAAATATTAACCCTTTTTTTTTAGTTTTAAAACTAAGAATATTATCAGTTTTTTTATTTTTTCAAGTTTTTATTTTTTTATTTTTTTCCAATTTTGCACATCGATGTTCCATCATCATGTTCCTTTATAGATACAAAATTTTTAGTTTTGCACAAAAAATAATTCAATTTTTTCCTTTTTTTTTTTGGCAGATAATATATTTTTTAATTTTTTCAATTTAAAAGTTGGTGTTTTAAAGTTTTGAAAATAAAAATAAATGTCAAATCATCATGTTCCTTTATAGATAATCATAAATGATGAACAACTATTATTTGATTCTGACTATTAAAAATTTAATGAAACTTGAAGGCTCAAAAAATTTTAATTAAAATTTAATAGAGTATAAATTGATAAAAGAAAATGTTATAGACCTCAAATGAATTACTAAATATTCTACATTAATACTCTGAGATAAGTGTATGAACAAAATTATATCATGGAAACAGGTAGGATTTCTTTGTCAGTTTTGTCTATAAATATTTTTTGTAAAGCTTATTAATATGGAATATTATACCAAAGTCTACTTAATATGTGTCATTCTTGGTTGATAAAAATATATATTCTTTTCTTCTAACTGGGTTCTTATCCCTGAACTTTATTTGATTGTTTAAAAAAAGCACCCATTTGGCTTCAGTGGACTCTCCCCCTTTTTTCTTTTTTTTTTTTTTCTTTTTTTTTTTTTTTTTTTTTTTTTTTTTTTTTTCACATAGTATAGTAGATCTGGGACAGGTTCTGAGCTCTGTGACACACACAAAATAAGGGGAATTAGATCTCAGTGGAAAAAACGAAATTTTTTTTAGATAAATAGGGATGGTAATTTCTGTACTTCAGTCCTATTATTTTTGTATCTGCAATTCAATTGGTTTGAATTTATGATTTTATTTTAATTTAGTCCAATTGATTATAATTCTTATCATTTTTTTAGAAAAAAATATGTATATAAGTGACATGTGATATTTTTAGAATAAAATTATAAATTTACTAATATCAATGAGTTAATTTCAATCAATTCAGTAACTTCAATCAATTCAGTAATTACTTTCAGTTAAAAAGATTAACAACATTATCAATTAGACTAAATTTATACAAATTTTAAAATTAAGGTTAAAATTGTACCAATTAAAACTGGAGGGACTAAAATGTAAGGACCATCGGTGTAATTTGTACAATTTTTTTTACATAAATATAGAGGGGCATAAGTCACACTTGTATCTTCACAACCTTTCACTTGCACTCTATCACAAAGTCACTTATACCCCCACACATACCCCCACATGCTTTTGTAATTTTAATTTTTTTATCTCACTATTATGAAATTCTTCCAAAAAATTTATAGTACTAGACTATTGAGAAATGCCTTATCCCCTTATTTCATAATTTTCAATTGGGCATTTAATGAGATGACAAATAATAATAATCAATCTACTCTTTTTTAAAGTGTATGACCATTTTACATGAGAATAAATCACATCATTAAAAGTAAAATTAGATGTGCAAAATTAGAGAGGAATAGCATCACTATATTACATTTGCATACTATAATTAGGTATTTTTATCATGTGGCACCACGTATGCATCATTTAATGAATCCCACTTTTTATCTAGAAAAAATAAAAAAATAAAAAAACTAAGGCTTTGTTTGGCAAAAGAAGTTGATACTAAAAAAGTACAAAAGATAAAATAGGTTAAATAAGAGAATAAAATAAAATATCATATTCAAACCATAATCATTTCACATTTTCTCTTACAAAAGTTACAAAAATAAAATAAAAAAACAAATCAAAATGAATTTTTTAGTCCCAAACTAAAAAAATCTCAATTCAAAAAAGCTAATTAAAAGAGCTCTAGCTAAACGACAACTGATAATATTGTGTAAGTTCATCACATGATGTAACATAGCCTTATTTTAGGAATATGAAGTTTTTTAATTAAGAAGTTAAGAAATCACTCTAAAAAATTAATTTTTTTTCTGTACTTTTTTTTATAAAAAAATTACTAAACAATTCAATTAACAAAACAACTCATATGTAACATGTAAAGAGTTGCGTCAAATGACACCAAAATAAAAACCAAATCAAATAAAAAGTTCTATTAAATGAAATGGTCAACGGTTGAAAGCTATTAGGAAAATTCTAATATACAGATTCTTACCCTACGCATTTATAAGTTATACTATTTTTATTTATTTTTTTGGT